CTTCAGGGGGGAATTCGTCGTCATCAGCGTCCTCCGCTTGGTCGTTGGCGACGAAAAGGTCGTCTTCTAAGGGCGTCGCCGCCGCGGTGCGGTCTCTGTTTTCGGATTCTCAGCCGACGTCGTCCGGCAAGTCGCCGCCGTCCGCAAAGTCTTACGCCGCCGCCGCCGCCGCCGCTCCGCCGCCGAGCACGACGGGGACCCCCAAAGCGCCCGTCGGAATCGGCGGGGTCGTCACCACTAACTCCGACCGTTCTTCCACTGCCGCTGCCGCTGCCGCCGCCGCCGCCCGGCGGCCCACGGCGGCAGTCAAGCCTCGGAAGTCGCCCGCGACGGCAACGGTCAAGGCGGCCGCCGACGCGGCCAAGCTCCGTCCCAAGTCGCAGGCTTCGGCGGCGGCAGCGGCGGCGGCAACGTTCAAGCCGCCCAGGTCGCCCGTGACGGTGACGACGGTTGCCAAGGGTAGCGGCGGGCACAGCATGAGCGGCGGTGGTATTCGTGGAGGCGGGGGTAAGGGCACCGCCAAGGAATACTTCAGCAACGCGGCGGCGGCGGCGGCGGCTGCCGCGGCTGAGGGAGAAGAGGCGGTGACGAGTGAATCGGAAAGGGGCCACAAGGGAGCCGCAGGCAAGCAGGAGGCCTCCGTCACCGTGGAGGCGGAGATGCGCGCGGCCGCCGGAGCGGAAGCGCTTGGCGATGAGGAAGACGGGGAGGCAGAGGTAGGACGCTGTGGTGGTGGCTTCGTTGCCCCTGTCAAGGTTGCCAAGAAACCTCTCCCCTAGGATGTTGTGCCGAGTTGGCTGGCTGGGGCTTTTCGAGAGCTCTTCTTTGGACTTGGCTTGTGAGCAACAATGCTGCTAGGATTGTTGTGCAGCCGAGATATATTGGGGGGTAGGTGAAGGTGCGGTCACCATTGTTGTTACGGTCCGTCAATCGGCGATGTCCTGTACAGGCGGTTACAATGAAAAAACTCAGGAGCTGCTGTGCATTGCGCCAAAATAAATTCTCAACCTTCTCAATCCCTTCATTTGCGTCTTTTTGCTATGGTTTTATCTTTTCGGACAGCAGGGGGGCCCGCCGTCCTCCGTCTCCAACACGTCCAAGGGCCGCAAGCGCGGGAAGAAGGCTCGCCGGGCCGCCGCTGCCGACTCGAAGACTCCGCAGGACAGGAGGCAGCATTCTTGGTCGAGTCAGGTGAGCGAAGGCGTGTGTGGGATTTGTTTTTGTTTGTTTGGGTCTTGACTTCCAAGTCAGCGCTCACAGCGTTTGTGCCGTTTACTCCAACCCGTGGTCACACAGAAGGGTTCCTCGCCCGGAGCCCTCCCTGCCCACCCCTCATACAGCGCTTTCTATCCTCTGTGTGCACCAGATTACCACTTTTTCGCGGTGCGGCACGGGTTGCGATTGGGTGTTTTTCGGGAACCTGTTTTTTCCTGGTGCGGATTTAACGGTTTGTTCGGGGACCTTGTATTTTCGTGGTGCGGTTTTGGCACGGCGGTATGATGCGTGTCGATAGATCGGTCGGTGCTTACAATGGCTTGGTGCTATAACTGGGGCAGGAGGTCACCTCCGTTGTCTGGGAGGGTGGGTGGCCAGCATCGGCGTTGTCTTAGTGCTGTGGTTCTGGGATGGCCTTGCGTTTCGTCGTAAATCGCGCAACGGGTTAAATAAATATCGCGTCGCAGCGTCTTTGTACCTATGGGGATGGGTGAGAATACCGACGAAAGCCTGCTTCATCTTGTTTGACGGTAGTATATACCTACGTCGTTTTTGGTGCTCTTTTATGTGTTGACTGCGTCTCCTTTTGACCGCGTGAACGCGATGTCCCGTTCTGCGCGGAGGTTGGAGAGGGCAAATAGGCGCTTGATTCCCGTCTACCCTTCCCCTCAAACCATATTTCCATTGCCCGTATGCCGCTCCTGTAGCATCCATCGTTTCTTTGCGTGACCGTACCCGAAACGCGTTTACCTTGCCAACTTGAACGCTGAAATGAGGCTTTCCGTCCATCACCAGTTTTTAAGTTTCGTCCAAGGTTTTGCTTTTTTGGCAGTCGTGCGATGCATCGTGACCCCAACCCCCCGTCATGTTTGTCACGTCCAGAGCTTCAGCGACTACGGCGGAGGAGGCGGCGGCGGCGGCAACACGCCGGGAACGAGGTCCTCCAGGTCCACCCCCCGCAGCAACGGCGGCAACGACTTCTCCCACGCCGGCGGCGGCAGCGGCGGCGGCGGGGCGGGCAACACCGCCCCGTTTTGCTCCACCGCTGTGGCACTGGCAGGGACAGCATCGAAGACGGCGGCGACTGCGGCCCCAGGAGGCGGAGGAGGGTCGAAGGGAAAGTGGGAGTCCGTGGGGGGGCAAAGGCGTTCTGCTGGCTCGGGAGTAGGCGAGGCCGGGACCAGCGACGACGGGCCGCAAGCGCAAGGGGGAGTGGCCAGCGCGTTCGTGATGGATTTCGTTCGCGGGGCGGGGATACACCGGCTCGATCCCCGACGCATCGGGGGGGAAGGCGGCGCGGTCAGCGCGTTCGTGAAGGATTTCGTTCGCGGGGCGGGGATTCACCGGCTCGATCCCCGACGCCTGTCCGGTGAGAGCAGATTGGTTTGTGTTTGTGTTTGCGTGCGTTGGGAGGCGCGTGTTCCGTGTTTTCGGCGGTCCTGTTTGCAGCATGTTTACACGTTTTTAGCGATCATGTTTTCTTTCGGATGCGCGCGTTCCTGTTTTGGGCTTGTTGTTGACCCTAAGACTGCGATACATCGAGTTTGTTGAAACGGAGCGCCTCCGGTGCACACACCCCGACGTTTACCTCGTGCTTTTTATGTACATTCCTATACGCTATTCAACGAGTGCTGTTTGGTTCTTCGACGGCGTTCATCTGGTTTGCAGGTCTTTCGTGAGTTGGTTTACCGCGTTTTGTGTATGTGTTGGCAGACGAAGGGCCGGCCAAGGGGTACTCCACTCTTGCTTCCGTGTAGGCCACCGGGCTTTTCTTTACGCAAGAAACAAGTCCTTCAGTAGTCAGTAACTTGTCGCGAGCTCGCTTTTACCCCCCTCCTCCTCTTGTCCGGTTCTTGCTCGTCACCCCCGCCCCAGACCAACTCACCCTCGTCGTCTCTTGGACGGGCCTCGATCGGGCGTGGGCCGGAGCCTGGGTGCTCATCCGCAAGCTCCTCCAAAAGCTTCTCGAGATGAGCCAAGAGCGCGGCCGCAGCGGCAACGGCGGCGGCGGCACCGGGCGGTCCCGCAAGGCAACAGGGGGGGGCAGGGGCGGCCACAACCACCACTACGTGGGCGCGGCGGGGTCGCACCAGCAGTGGCAGCGCCGCTGGAGGCCCGGCCGACGCGTCGCGGCGGCGGCGTCCCTGACGTTGCTGGCGTCTTACCGTCGCTACCAGGTAATAGTTGTGTCTTCGGTGGAGGTTTCGGCCCGGGCGGGCGGTGTTTGGGTGGTCGCCGGTTGGTGAATTATGTGTGTTGTTGTTGTTGTTGTTGTTGTTGTTGCGGTTGGTGCATTCTTGGTGTTGGTGTCGTTGCGTTGGCGTTACGATGCGAACGGAGGTGCCTCGCATATCTCTTCTAATAGTACCAATGCTTGCAAAGCATCAACGAGTGTTTGACGGGATCACCCGCTGGGGTGCTCGTGCGTCTCTCGTCGGCCGGCCGGGGTTTCGCGGGATGACCCGCGAAACAATCCGGGTTGCTCGAGCGGCTCTCGATGGTCGATTTTCGTCGTTCAGCCACGCAAAACCGTGTCGTTTGTCAAGGCTACACTGACGGTGTTGACGACGCCAGCCGCGTTCGTAGACGCCGGTCATGTTTTGCCCTCAGCCATTCAGTATGTTGCAGCCGTGGCATCCGTAGCGTGACAATGAACCTCTCGCCTTGTCCGTTGTTTCTATCCAGTCTTGGCCAATTTGCTTAGGCTGCATGCAGGAGACGCGTACCCGACATGTCTCGGGACGGTACACGCTGTAGCAGGTACCTCGCCAACTGATGATGTACACCGCTATTTCACTCGTGTGTCTGTCTGTCTGTCTGTCGATCTGTCCGTCTGGTTGTCTCACAGCCTCAGCCTCTGCCTCTGTCTCTCCCTCTCCCTCTCCTCCCCCCCCCCCCCCCTCTCTCTCTCTGCAATTTCCTTACACTCTGCCTGACACCCCCCCCAACCCTCTCTCTATCCAACTGCTCTACACTTTGCCTCCCCCGCCGTCGCCTGCCAATATCAACTCTTTCCCGCCAAACGTATAACGGCCCGAAAAACTAAACAGGTCACCCACCCGGAGGTGACGACAGACCACGTCCTCGGCGCGGCCTCCTCCCTCGTCCTCGCGCTCGCGGCCTTCCTTGTCCGTGCCGCCGCCGACCTAACCATCGATGCCTGTGGAGCCGTCATCCCGAGCCTCTGCGGCACGCGGGAGTCTCGCCTGGAGGCCGCCTACCGCCGCCTCCAGCAGCAGAGGGGCGACGGCGGGGGTGAGGAGGGGGTGGGGGGTGGGGGGGATGCTGGGCGGGAGGGTGGGGTCCGTCCTGTTGCGGAGAAGGTTGGGGGGCCGGCGGCGGAAGGGCACGAGCTGGATCAGTACTTTATTCTGTGACGTGGCAGGGTCGAGGGTCGTTGTAGGTGGAGGGCGGAGTGGAGGTATTCTACGATTTTAGTGTTTTTTTTGTGGCCACCAGCTGAAATCGACGGTGTCCCGGGTGTCTTTTGTGTTTTTTGTCTCGATGGTTTTCGTCGCAAGGCTTGCTTCTTGTCTCGGGAGCGTCGCGAGCGCGCGTGCATGAAATGTCTGTTTGAACCGTGTTTTTTTTCTACCAACCCTTTCAAGAGAGACCTGGCGCAGAGGGTCCGACGGGTACGAGGGATGCCAAATGACGACAAGAGTCGAAACACGCTGCGAAGCGTGGACATCAACTTCTGCCTGGACATTTCTTCCTGACGTCCTCGCTCGCGGCAGTTTGCTGGTGTCAGTTGTTGTCGGGGTTGAACGCGTGCCTTGGGTGCCCAACTCTCGGATTCGCCCTCCGCTCCCCCAGGGCAGTGCAGGCCAACCGGACCGAGTAGGGCCGTGTAGCAGTATCAGGAGACGCTGTTGGGAGCCGTGCTGTAAGAGCCGACTCCTCTGGGAAGAAAGAGGTGGGCGGCTGAGGAGCACCCGACGTTTAACCGTTGCACCCGAAGAAAAACTACATGTACTTGATGCGTTTTGTTTGTTTGCGAAGTTTGCGGCGTGGTTCTTCGGCTGCTGTTCCGGTTTGGTGTGTATCCCTCTGTCATTGTTTTTAGTTCGGCCGAGGGGGGTGGTTTTGTGTGGGTCGTTTGCTGCGGAATCAACAGCGAGAATATTCGCAATTGGGAAAGCAACATTTTTTTGGTCGGTATCGCCGTGGGGGTAAAAGGTGGGTATTTCGGCTTTCTGATCTAACACCGACCCGTTTGTTGTTGTGTTACTCTCTGTACCGCAACGCTCCTCCATTCCCCGCTACCCCACCAGTTTATCGTGCAACCGATTCCTGGTTTTTGGCCCTACTGCTGTGTCTTTTTCGTCCGTAAATTGGTGCATGGTTTGTGTGGTGGAATTGTTTGGAATTTTCTGTATGTTGTGCCATATTGTTGGACGTGGTATCTTGTTTGTGGCGGACTTTCTCCGCCCCCTTTACTTGCGATATTTCATGTGCCCGTGCCTCGGTGTTGTCTTCGCTAGTGCCACCCCCCGCAGCTGGTATTTTTGATCGCGTGCTTTTATTTTGGTTCATTGGCGTTTCTCGCAGCCTTCCCTAATCGCGGATAGTTTTTACCCTCCCTGTGATTGAGGGCGCAAGAACGAGATTGGCGGGGTGAGTTTCGGCCAATCACTGCGATTGCCTTGTTGCATGGGACGGGAGGAATTGAGTGTCACGGAACACAGCAGCTGAAGTGTTACCATCGAGCATCTTCTTTTCGAAGTTTGCTCTCCAGGGAAGTAGTATGTTCATGTAGGAAGAAATGTGGCGAAAGAGTGCGACTTTTCGTCTGCGAATAGTGCCTTTGGTATTCCATGAAGGGAAGTATGAACCGCAGCAGCACCAGATGCTGACAATACCCAATGAGTCTTGAGTCTCTGAAGTATTTAGGCCCTGTCAGCAGGTCGCTTACACGAACTACACTTTCCGGAGAGAACTTGTTCGAAGGCATGTCCATACATCTCGAGGTGGTTACCAACGGGTGTGCGTCCCGTGCAGTCCTCTTGCACTTCCACGCTCGCTCCCGAAATCGAGTATTAGCTGTGCTAGAAGAGGGAATCACCCTCGACAGACGTTGGGGACATGGCGGCCACAATTTGTTTCGAGGTGGCCTACACGTTGCCCCCCGGGTTGGTGGAGAGCCTGTATTGTGTACAAATCACAAACATTCGTTGAACGGGGAATCGGGACCCAACCGGCTGGTTACACGGCTTTTCACTACGTTGGCCAAGTCGACATCGCCATAAGATGCTGATTTGTCTCGGTCCACTTTGACTAACCATAGACGTGAATGGCGGGATTTTCACCCGGGTTCGCTATTTTCCACGAAAACCAGACAACACACCCCGACACCAATGTAAAAATCGGGAAGGAATCGTTGCCGACAGTTGCGCAAGGCGATCGTCATGTATCAGGCATGAGGCAACTTCGATTTGCGGATATTCCGCCACGAAACGCAAAGCATATTGTTAGTGGCCTACAACCCCAGCACGCAAGATTGTGGGTATGCTGCGTGTTTCTTCAACTCCGGCATTATCTTGGACTAATAATAGGGCGAAATGCTGCTCATTATTTTGTTGGGTGGAAGTAGACAACGATGTTTCGCGCCGTTCTCGAATTAACTCACTTCTGTGAAACCAACACGATTGATTTGAAGGAAATTCATCAGCAAACAAGTTCGGTCTTGCCCCACAACCCATCTCTTCCAACCCCGCCATTCACGTTGAACAGGTTCTCATTCGACGGTCAGCAGCAAAGATGTGAAGACTTTTCCAATTGAGAGTCTTATCACTCAAGTGATGCGCTGCTGTACAACTTACGTTTGTCAAGCAACCTCCACAGCGTCATGTTTTCCACCTGCTTCTCCCCTTCGTTGGTCCTTTGAAGTTTAAATTAGCAACCCCATCGCCCTCATGCACTGCGGAAGGGCCCACCAGAGATAGATCCAGTCAAAATTTGTACAGAAAAACACGAAGCATGGTGTTCATTGTTGTTGTTTCCCTTTGCAATAAGCGACCGTCAAGAGTCGCCCTCACGGATTCCTCCGGTGAAGATTTGATGGATGCCAGTTTTTTCTGGTATGCCACCTTGTCGAAGTTCTAGGCGAGGTATTCATCACTTTGACATTCATGTACCCCGCCTGGTCTTCTGCGATGCCAGTGGGAGGGAGCTGATTGTTGTATGGAAGGAACAAAGGAAATCTTTCTGTGTACGATTGGGGACTATACCTCCGCTGCCAAGCAGAATAAGTGAGGATATGCTATTGCACCCGTCCGCGGTCCGCTACGTTGCTAGTGGGGGGAAGAAATAACCCAACCTAAATTAGAAGGAGAACACTGCCTTGTCTTCGTCACCTACGTAGTAGCTGTTTTCCACTAAGCTCTTCGACTTGGATGAAATCCCCAGAAAACGTATAGGTACATGCATTGATAGATGGGTCATTCAGCAGCAAAACACGTGGACTGACTGACTGATAGAGACTGAATTGGAAATGTTTCGCTGACCGTTGAACGAGATGCCGCCGGTCATATTGTGAATGAGATGGGTCGTGGGACATTACAGAAATTCTGTTCTGACTATCTATATATTTTATCACATCGTCGATCGTTACTACTCTGGACGAACTATTGCTGTAGTCTCCCTTGAATAGTCTTCTTACAATATAATTTAAGTTTTCTCTGAGAACGCTTCATTTCGTTTCTTTCGGCTTCTGTGAGCGCTCTATTCCGGTCTTCTCGGGCTCTCGCAGAGCAGCATTTCCTCTGGAAATTTGGCACTTTGGTGGGCTTTCCACTTTTGTCTTCCGCTTTTATCTCTCTCGCCTGCTGCTGTCACCCCGCTCTGTACCATCATACCACGCATTCCACTCGAAGTACGCCCCTCTCTGTGTGTGCCTCCTTCTCCTCCTCCGTTCCTCCGTCTCTCTATGTCTCTGACGGTCTGTCTATCCACATTCTCTTTTCATTTTCGCCTTCTCTCTTGACCGCTCTCTCTCACGTCGGAATGGTCTGTTGTTTGTTCCGATTCCGTGTGTTACTGCTGTTTTTTTTCTTCTTCTAACACCTTCACACGACCTCCTATCACCTTGGTACCGTATTCTCTCTCTCTCTCCTCTCGGTGTTTGTGTGTGTCTATGTATCCACGTTGTCTTCCATTTTCGCTTTTTCTCTTCACCGCTCTCGCGTCGGAATGGTCTGTTGTTTGTTCCGATTCCGGCAACGGAACGGTGTTGTGTGCTCCGGTTCCGATAATAGGTCCGGAAAATACAGAAATACACTCCTTTCTAACTCCACTCTCGATTGCTACCACCCCGGCCCACTCCTCCCACTCCTCTGTAGCTACTCCGGCTACTTTCGCACTCCTTCTGTTACTTGGCACTCACTTCTTCTGTAGTCTTCGACTCCATGTCTCGCCGCCATCTCTTCGACGACTCCCCGCCCGAGCATCCTTTCTTCATTCGCAGTTCAGCCGACAATTTTGTCTATTTTTTGGAGTTCTGAGTTCTGGATGTGTATCAGATAATGGAGGGGTACTGGGCACGGCGATGGGAAACAAATAATGGACCTTTACATCTCCGTAACTCACACACGAACCTCCATCATGGGAACTCCACCTTCACGGAAACTTTAACTGCCATCGGTGCCTGCCTTCATTTTAACAACATCCTACACCCACTTTTTTCAGAGAAAACATTGCTTGGAATCGCTTCAAATAAAGCGGGGGTGCGCAGCGCCCAAAACCTTGTACCCCTATGAATGAAATGGTATTGGAAATTGAGGCATTTTATTTTTTTATGCTTCTCTTCAAATCAGCGCTCACACCTTTCCCACCGTTCGCTCCAACCCGTGGTCACACAGAAAGCATTGGGCGTCGTCGTATATGAATGGAAGGAGAAGTGAAAAGCAAGTGAAATACGAGTGAGTGAAAGTGAAACCCTAGTGAATTGCGAAAAGTACGAGAGGACGAAGAGTGAAATATACGTGTGAGTGAAAGTGAAACACTAGTGAATTGCGAAAAGTACGAGAGGACGAAGAGTGAAATATGAGTGAAATAAAAAGTAATATTTACTTTTATTTTGATTGTGTACACACTTCCACCAAGTGCCAAAGTGAGTAGGGAGCTTGTTGCCCTATAGTCCAGCATCAGGCATACTTATAACTTGGCGCGCTAGGGTTGGTTGTAGCAGCTACTATACATCGCTCAGTTCTTGGGTAGATTGTGCCTTCCGAGAACCCCCCATCAGTATGTATGTATGGCAGAATGTGACAGCCAGAAAACTCACTTTGCCTCACATCCCTTGATATCGATACATGAAGTAAGGCAGACTCCATTCGTTCGTAACCCTGCCATCTTTCGGATCTATAATCCAGACCACTAATACTCGTACCCTAACATTTTTTGGAAGTTCACCAATACAAGCAAAGAGGTGGCACGAAATATACACAATAATATTAGCATTTTCACATTCACTAGGGGTAGGCCAACAGATATGCGCAGGATTCCCCTACTACGTGTAGTGTGTTCTCCACGCTGCTGTTCAGCAATCAATGTGGAAGTCGTTCCAGAGGAGCCTAGAACGGACGTCGAAGGTAAGCTCGTAGTGTATGTGGAGCGTGCGGCACGTGGAAGTGCTTCAGGAGCCTGACGCGGAGGTATCTTTCGATCGAATGTGGAAAAGAAATCGTTCCGCCTCACTCGCTCTCCGTCCGCCCATCCATACTTCGTGCCCACATCATCCCTGCGTGTCTTGGGAAGAGCAAAGTTGAACAGAGAGTTAGAGACGTACCCAACCCTCGGTATCTTTCCTGTGGGTGCACTGACATCTCACTGGACGAATCAAAGCTTCGCGCAACCTTTGCTCCAACCAAGCATCGTTGACGAAGCATACTCGTTCGGTTTGAGACACAAATAACACCGATCCCCATCGGGTTCTCTGGGGAAAAGGGATCCTTCGTTTCAATAAAGTTTTAGCCTCCTCGAGAGGGTAACATAAACAAGAGGGTGAGGATTTGATGTGGTATCTACATATATATATCGGGTTCTGGGAGAGAAATACTGGCGAGGAGTGCCTGTAGAAGAACACGTCGTTTCTTCACACCGTGCCGCGGACCTCCAAG